AACCCGCGGGTTCAGGCAATCCACTCACCTCAGCCTCCCAAGGCGCGGGATTACAGGCTGAGCCACCGAGCCTGGCTATACTACAAACCTTAAGTTACACATTCTCTTTGTTTGAGCATTTCTATTTCTGAGAACTTAAGGGAAACTCCACCAGCATACACAAACACCAGCTTCAAGGACAAGCTTAGACGTGAGTTCGGTACAGAACGTCAAAGCTGCACAGTGAGACTGCGTCAGCCCACCACGTCCCTGGGTTCCTCTGCATAGGCCCTACTGCTGCTTCAAGTAGTTCTAGGTGAGCACAAGGTCACCACTAAGCAGACATTTCCCTCTTCCCTGTGGGTTTTGTAAAATAAAATCCTAGAATGCAAAAATGAAAGGAAACTAGAAAACCTCCTGCCCTCAACACAAATCATATTATAAAGATCACTATAGAGGCCACGAAGCACAGTTTAAGAAATAATATGGAGTATAGTCATGTATAAAACAGAAACACTCAAGTGCCTGGACTTTGTGCTATAGAAGAACTTGCATGAGGCTGGACCGCACGATGACAGCCACCAGCTGCTAAAAGGATCTACTCACCCATCTAATATAAGACTTTCATAGGCAGCCTTTTTGTCACACACAGGACAAATCCAGGTGGGTTTCTTCTCGTTCATTTGCAGATAAAGGGCAGCATCGAAGCACTGCAGATGTGTACAGGTCACTGCACGGCATGGGATTGTCAGCCTCATTTTCCCTAACTGCAGGACAGGGAACAGAACACGGAGAACGAGCTCAGACAGGGGAACACAGCCTCGCAAGAACAGGCAGGCAAGGAAGTCTGAAGGTGCCATGCAAGGTAATAAAAATGGGAAAGAAATCCACCCAGAACTTCTTCCCATCGAGATGACTCTTTTGTTTTCATTCACTGGTTCCCCTGTGAATTTTGAAATATCATTCGTTTCCCGTTTTCAGAATGGGCAACATGTGAACCCACAGGCAGAAAGAGACGCACGTGGTGAAAAGCAGACACTCCTCCCACCTGAGTGGGAGCCGCCAGTGTCGCTCGTCTGCGTGACCTTCACACAGGCTCCACACATGAAGCCACTGCCACTGACAGAAGGACCTTCCCTCAACAGTGGCACACAATACACACAGCCCTGCGCCTTACTTCTGTCCCCCAAGTTAGTGACTGCTGCACACACATCAGTATGAAAAACTTCCATTATACGAAGGCAACGAAATGTATTCCAACAGTACACTGCTTAGGGACATCCAAATGGTTTCAATCTTTTGTCACCACTTACAATGCTGCAATAAACACTGGTAGGATAAATTCCTAGAAGCAAAACTTTGGGGTCAAAGGGAAAGTGCACTTGCGATTTCTGTCATGTTGACAAGCTACCTTCAACCAAGGTAATGTACTGATTTATGCACACACATGTACTGGGTTCCACTCAGCCGGGTCAACGCAGTGTTACTGAATTCTGTGATCTTAGCCAGTCTGTTAGATGAGAAGTAGCCTGCCACAGGGTCACACTACATTTCTCACAGTGTAAGTGGCAGCTGGGCCAGAGAACTGTCTACTCACAAACTCTTCTTGTTTTCCATTTGGTTATTAATCTTGTTATCTACTTATAGGAGAAACCAACCTCGGGGTGTCTTGCTTTGTTTATGAAAACCCTTCACTTTTGTCTTACCAAGTGTGCCCATTTTTCAACATGCTTTTGACTAGCCCCAGTGCTCTGCTCAATCCACAATCCATGTGGCAGTGACCTACTGCACAGAGACACACACTTGGATGGGCTCCCATCGGGCTTTCCCAGGCAACCCTCCCACCTCCCCACAGGCTTCCTTTATGGAAAGCATCTCCAAATAGATCCAGCTGTTGTTGCCTGACAGAAAATCCACTCTTCCACTAGATCCTAAGCTCCAAGAGACAGAGTCCAGATCTCTGCTCACCGCTGAATCTCACTGTCCCGGCACAACCCTAGCTCAGAACGTATGCTCAGGATTTGCTGACCAGTTGGTGGGACGCCTGGAGAAGGATTGGAAAGGGGCAAAGAGAGAGACAAGGGAGAGGGAAGGACCTCTTTACTCGCACCATCAAGCTGGGAGGATGTCACTGCAATTAAGATGTCCACGACATTCTTAACTATGCCCGGGAGGTACAATTTTCAGGAAGTTCCTTTTTGCTCCTTTTGGTCCAGACATAATTTCTCTAAAAGTCCTCTAAAATGAACATTTGGTAACTATGTAATTTAAAAAGAAAGTAAGGCTGGGCGCAAATCCCAGCGCTTTGGGAGGCTGAGGTGAGAGGACTGCCTGAACCCAGGGTTCGAGACCAGACTGGGCAATATGGCAAGACCTCATCTCTACAATAAATCCAAAAATTCGCCGGGTGTGGTGACACGTGCCTGTAGTTCCAGCAACTTGGGAGGCTGAGGCAGGATTGCCAGAGCCCAGCAGATAGAGGCTGCGGTGGCTGTGAGTGTGCCACAGCACTCCAGCCTGGGCGACAGAGTAAGACTTCGACTCAAAAAAAAGGGAAAAGACAGGGGCTCAGCAGTCTATCCTAACATGTCATTCGTTGTTACACTGAAGGGAAATTAATTACCCATGCAGAATGAAATTCCCCACTGGTGCTGCACTTACAGGGCATGTCAAGGACACCCGGAGGCTAGTCGTAGCAACTTCACTATCGGGATCTGCGGTGAGCTTCTCTTTAACTTTAAATGGAAGAGAAAAAAGACAGTTAAAAATTCAAAAAGTTAATGGTGACCCAAGAATGGGAATGACAGAAACATAGAGCATCTTATCTTAAAATGTCCCAAATACTTCAAATAAGTTAAGAACCTACAAAAACCAAATCGTTTAAAGATTAAGGAACTGAAAACACAACCATATTCCCAGTATCAGCCTGGAGAATTACAAACATGCAAATACTAGGTCATGTGCTTAATTAAGTTCTGAAAATGTCTTTTTTTTTTTTTTTTTTGAGTTGGAGTCTCACTCTGTCACCCAGACTGGAGTGCAGTGGCCGCTCCCAGCCACTGCAGCCTAGACTTGCTGGGCTCCGGTGATCCTTCTGCCTCAGCCTTCCAAGTAGCCAGAACTACAGGCGTGCGCTACCACACCCTGCTCATTTTTTTAATTTATTGTAGAGATGAGGTCTCACCAAGTTGCCCAGGTGGGTCTTGAATCCGCGGGCTCAGGCGATTCACTCACCTCGGCCTCCCAAAGCGTGGGATTACAGGCTGAGCCACCGAGCCCGGCCTGAAAATGTCTTTTCAAGTGAAAAGCTGCTGGGAAGGAGGAGTTTCAAAGCAGGAAGCTGCTCAAGGCTGAAGGATAGGCCAGTAGCCTGGAGAGGCTGCGGCATGGCCCAACCACGAGGCTTTCCCAGCGCACGCTCAGCATGCACTTGTTAAATTTGTAAAAAGAAAAGATAAAAACATTCTTACATCCCCTTTGGCAATTGAAAATGACTGTGTGCGTGCTCATGTGGCTGTGACTTTATTCACAGTAATGCAGACCAACTGCTACACACACACGCTAATAAACACACACCCACATAGACACGGATGTGTACGAGAGCTCTGGTGGTTGTTTTTCCCACTAAGGTAGCTCATATGCTCGGTCTTACAAACGTTACTTACTTAGTGCTCTGGAATGATCAGGGTTTCTAATACCTTTCATTTTTAATCTCTGTAATAACATGGCTGATGTGAGCTGTCGTACGAGATATACAGACATGGAGTAATTCTACGAACAAAAAAAGCCTGTGTTAAAGACGAGAGATAACATTCTCTGTATGCAATATCTTAAAAACCCTGGTCTTTAAAAACCATATTCAAAACAGCTTCCTTGGGAAAATCAATGCCTGGGACATAACTCAACTTAGCAGCTGCAGGGAACACCATCCTCTTAAAGCACTTTCAGCACCTCCGTATAGTAACGCGGTTTGGGTCAGTGGCTGAGGGCACACGATGGCTCCAGCTTAGCAGAACTGGTACCTTAGGGACCACCCTGAAAGCAAACCCTCCCATGCCTCATCCTAACTGCAATCACTTGGCTTTACATCACAGGGCTCTCACGTTTTTGCTTGAAAATCAGTTCCAGTGTGGAAGCAAAGTTCAGTGACCGGAATGAGCATTTCAGCCCCCACATTCCAAAGTTCTGAGTCTGGCCGAAGAGACCACCTAGACGTGGCCTTTGAGCCCATCACTCAAGCAAACCCAGTATCAGCTTTCTTCTGGGGAAAGCAGGATCACTTAATTCCTCCTGTTACCAGATGTGTATTGTGCTGAGTATTTAAGACACACAAAATGCTAGAAATCAGGAAGCCAAGGCCAGAAGACAGCAGTATCCAACCCTGTACCTCCATCAGGTACAAAGGAACCTTCGTTAGCTACTTATAGAGCTATGAAAAGATGAAACACAATTTTACCTAAATGCTAACAAAACTGTCTTATCATTTCACTTGACACATTCATTCAATCGACTCTATAATAAACATATTTTCAATCATTGTCAGCCAAGTGTTTTAAATAGCTTTAACATTCTTTTAAATATCTAAATACCTAATTTATTGTGCAAATTTTAGGTCAATTAATCATTTACATTATAAGGAAATAAAATGAATTCCCATATATGGCAAAACTGTCAAGCTTCCAATAGCTACAATCATTTATTCAAATATCTGCTGTTACCTCCAATTCTGCAATTACTTTCAAGGTAAAACAAAACCCCCCTGCTATAAACAATGCCCTGATTTCTCTATCCACAATACAGGAGTATTATCCTTTACTCCCAAGAAACAGGAACATTCACACAGATGTTCAAAATCAGTTGAAATCTGTTGTCCACTCATTTTTTCAGCTAGATGAACAAGTAATTCTAAAATGTGAACTCCCTGTTGTATCAATTGGTAGCTTATAATTGGTACCATTTACTTTAAAAACCAGCAGAAAGCCAGGTTCATCAACCTGAAGGTACAAGAGAAGCAATGTAAATCTGAGTCAGTATTTCATTACAAAATGCCCATGTGCTAGCTAAAACATCAGCTATTTACATAATGGTTGGAAGAGATTATTTTTAATCACAACATGAGTACACTTAACAGTTCCCCCAAAGACTGACAGAACTTTCTTTGTTCTTCATAAATATTTATCGCCCAAAGCTTCCAGTTTATTAAAGTAACTATTAAACACACACACAATTGTGCTTGAGCCGTTACCTTAAGAAACATAAACACATGTTTCCTTCCCAGGAAAACAAAGAGACGACACTCAGGAAACCTAAGTTAAAGTCTGTCACCTGAAGAACCCCCACACTGCTACCCTGAACTGAAAATGAGATCACAACAGAAAACCGGAGGCATGGGAGCCAGCAGCCTAAGAAAACACACTCCATCTCATTGCCTGGGGCCACTGTCATGCTAGCCAGGGAAGAGCCTTACCTTCCCAATTTCCGATGCCCAAGAAATGGAAATCTGGTTTGGCACAGCTGAAGACAGCCTAACTAGAGACGTGATGTTTAGGGGGCGGCCAGGACGCTTCTGCTCAATCCCGTTTTTAGGGGGTGGTGCGTAGCCCTACAAGCAGAAGAAACAAGAATTATTTTAACGTCTCTGCAGAGGATTAAACGTTTTCTCCAAGGTGTAGGACCCTGCCCAATTTCCGACTAAGGCATTTCTATTTTAGTCTGAAAGTCACATAGCCCTTATCTTTTTTTTTTTTTTTTAAGGTGAGAAAGCAGGATTTACTGAGAAGACAAACAAGCTCCCACAGCGGGAGGGGATCTAAGGGTGTTGCCCACATAGCCCTTATCTTATGATCCTCAATCCAAAACAGAAAAGTGACCTTTGAATTAAGTTATAAATTTTTCACCCTCATCAACAGGGGTACCTGCATAATGAACATTTGTGTGCCTAACCCTGAACTGTACCCCACAACAAGATAAAAAAATATTTCACAAGTCCTGACGATTAACAAAAAATCCATATTCCACCATTAAAATGAAAGCTAAAGATCTGGTCATACTAGCTATGAACTGTTTTCCTTTTTTCTAGGAAGCCATTCTTCACAGATAAAGTCCCAACTCTGTAATGATTCATCTTAGGTTCAGGCCCTGTTCAAAAGGCATTCATGACTGGGGAGGGAACGGGGAGGAGCACACTGGAAAGGAAACAAACGAGCAAATTATGAAGTTCCTTCCTGAAACCTTGTGAGTGATAAAAATGCCTTCTGCTGCCTGTGCTCTGCGAACAGAAACTCTCGTCTTTTAAACCAGGTCAACTTAACGAATAGGATAATCAATGTTTCAATTGGCATTAAATGAGCTTGATGGCTAGCGTAATACCGCTATTCATGCTTTAATCTGCTTTTATCTAGTCATCAAGTTGTTTGTTTTAAAGAGCAAATGTGCTCATTTCTGACTCACAGCTCTGATTCACAATTCTCAATTACCACAAGACTTTTCAAACTGTGATTTTCAAAACCAAAATTACATATTTTTCAGAAAATTAAAATTTCTTAGCTGCAAAAACATTTATGTACCGAAAAGTCGGTGCCATATTTCACTGACTCTAAGCTACCACTGAGGCAGTTTAATTATGCACCACTGGGGAAGGAAAACCATTCAAGACCCAGCTGGGGTACCAGCACTTCTTTCTGCAAACACAGCAAAGAGATACAGGCCAAGTGAGCGGACATTTCCCTCCCGGACTTACAGAACCACCTCCGGGTCCCTGCCACCCCATCGTCGATGCATCTGTTTCCACACCACACTCTATGCACAAGCAGAGCTTGAGAGATGATAGTGTCTCTCTCTGGGAACCGCACTCCACCCTGCAACCCCTCAGGCGCCCTTGCTGTCCTCAACTGCAGGTGCTCACAGAGACACACTCTGTCCCCCAGACTGTAGTAAAATTATGGTGCACCACAGCCTCGAGCTCAGGCAATCCTTCCGCCTCAGCCTCCTGAGTAGCTGAGACTACAGGGGTGCACCTCCACACACAGCTAATTTTTTTTTTTTGGTAGAGACAAGGTTTAGCTATGTTGCTAGGCTGGTCCCGGCCTCAAGCAACCCTCCCGCCTCGGCCTTCCAAAGTGCTGGGACTACAGATGTGAGCCGTTGTGCCCGGCCTATGCCTATCTTCATAAGCTGTTCAAGCAAAACACAAGAGGAAAGACTTAGGAACTGATCCCGGAGCAACCTGCACAAGGAGCGACAACCCAACACCAGGCAACTTGGAGGCCACTCGTTCAGTGGGTCCTGGACCCAGACAACGAACCCGTTTCCGGTAGGTCGACTGGCAGGCCAACAGCACACAGGGCTGGCCACGAGGATAAACGGGATTCCAGAAGAGCTAAACATGAACCCTGGAAGCAGTGCCAGGAGACACGAGGCAGGGTCTGGGAGTGAGGGGAATGCAGGTGGCGCCCACTGGCAACAGCAAGTGGGTGCGGGCCTCTCACCTGAAGCCTGCTCTGTCGGCTCGCACCGCCCCATCTGGGCGGCTTGCCTGCCCTGCCACTCCAGGCTACCTAACCGGTGTTCTCCTCGTGCCGTGAACCGCCCTGAGATGAGGACGTGGCTGAACTTTCCTACAACAGAAATGTACAGCCTTCCTATATTTCAACGTATTTTTCCACATACAAGCAAAAATGAAGCGAAGTGCATTCAACAGGGGACCTGTGTGGCAAATCCTGAAGCTTCCTCAGGGAAGGCGGCTGGAGAGCACACAGGAGACATCGCAGCAGCCATGCCTAGCGCTTCAGTGAGAGACATCCCAGGAACCTTTCCTGTTAGACGCCGAGGAAATCCTGCCTGCTTGAACTACTCATCTTGATGGAGCTCAGAAAGCACAGAGCTGGCCAAAGTCGGTGGCTCAGCCTGTCATCCCAGCACTGTGGAAGCCCAAGGCGGTGGACTGCCCGAGCCTGCGGGTTTGAAACCAGCCGGGGCAACTTGGCAAGACCTCGTCTCTACAATAAACAAAAAACATAGCCGGGTGTGGTAGCATGTGCCTATAGTTCTGGCCACTTGGAAGGCTGAGGCAGAAAGATTGGGGGAACTCAGTAGGTCGAGGCCGTAGGAGCCGTGAGCGTGCCACTGCACTCCAGCCTGGGCAATGGAGTGAGACTCCAACCACCCCCCCTCCCAAAAAAGCTCACAGCTGCTTTCGTCACTGCCTGATCCTTCACAGTCTAGGACACGCAAGTGTCGAGCAACACCATGCCCCATTCAGTCTGCACATGCAGTGCGGTGGCCAACTGCCATGCCTGCAATGACAGGAGCCTGTGGGAAGGCCACACACATCAGCATGTGCTCCAGGACACAGCACAGTTAAGGCCAAGCAGAGCTCTGATGGGAAACCCCATGACCGGGTCGAGATTACCCTTCCAGAACCTATGGTTCAACGGACCAGGAGCGCAGGCAGGGACCACCGCTGGACTCTGCGGTGGCCACTGACATTTCTCACAGCTGGAGCAGAGTCCCCGAGGCGGTCCAGGCGGTCAAACTCAGCATGACCCCCAGGGCCACCACAGCTCCCTTCAGAGGCGGGGCATCCTCAGTGGCTCTCAAGCTTCAGGACCGGCTGCGAGTCAAGAGGGGGGGCACCGTCACCACCACAATCCAAGCCACCTCAGATCAAGAGGCGGCCATGGGAGTTTCCACCAGGTACACAGGAACCAGTGTCCGCTGTCACGGGCTGAGGGAAGCAGCCTCTCAGGGAAAGACCGTGTCTGGTTTTCCTTGGGACGGCCCTCTTGGGGTCAGGTAAGTCCTCCTCGGCGCCTTCTGCTTTGGAGACGCATCTCCGCCTTTCTCCTGAGGCTCCGTTCCTTCTCCTTCCCAAGTGCCCATGGAGCCGCCTCTCCGTAGGCCTTGGCTCCGGGGGCCAGTGCCAGGCTCATCAGATAAAGGCGCTGCATGTAGGAACCAGTATGCTCACAAAAAGTCTGCCCAATTCCTCTCCCTCAAAAGGACTGAAGAGTGACAAATTCAGAGCTTCCCTAGTGGAGCTGCGGGCCTCCCCTACGAAACTGTCGGTTTGAAGTACGTGACGACTGCTGCACTTGGGAGGCTGGTGGAGTCCGTGTGTACACACGTCGGAAACCACTATGCTGTCCGCAGCAAGGCTAGAGGCAAGGCAGAACCCCCCACACTCAGACAGGGCCCGCACTGCACTGTCCGTGACAACCCAAGATGGGATTTTGAGGCACGTCTGCAGACACTGGGAGGCTTCCACGATTGCAACTTTCTTCAAGGGTGGTGTGAGAGGCAACCGGCAACAGTCAAAGGTTAAGGAGATCCTAGCACTCCACCCCTGCCCCCGGGCCAAGAAAGGTGGCGGCAACAAGGCCAGGAAAGCAGGGGAGGTTGCTCTCTGTTTCCGCACGCTCCCTCTGCCACCCACCGGCACCCTGCAGCTCCACGGAGGGCTTTTGCTCCCGGTTCAGAGCTGTGTGCAATCCATCTAGAAAGAAGACCGCTCCTAAGAATCTTGTTGCTGGGAATCACAATGTCGCCGTGGGTTTGAACACACGTGGGGCCATGTGAGCAGATCTCCCTGCCCACAGCCACTCAGTCTCTGCAAGGTCCCTGTCACCCCAGAGGACTCTCCATGGTTCCATCTCGTAGGCATCCTGCCAGAAGCGTGCATAAGTGACAGCATGACGCCCACCCTGTGAAACTCAGGAAACACACAACCCTCAGGCCTCAAAGTCCACAAAAAGTCCACATGGGTTCCCGACACCCAAGGTAGTCAAAGCCTCTGGTGACACACAAGGCTCAGCTGGGTCACCTCCCTTCAGGGCTCAGCCACAGCACGGGACTCCCACAGAGCCCAAGGCCTGGCCAGCGTGGTCTGGGTGTTTGGATGCACACAGGTGCAGCTCCTGTAATTACCCCAAGCTACACCTCGAGCTCGGCCAGGGACGCTGAGCTGCCTCCCACTCCTCAGCAGCTCCAAGGGCCCCGCTCTGCCACCAGGGCAGCCTGCAGGCAGGTGGGGCTCTGCTCGCGGCACAGCCACTGTGGCAACCACACCCCCACACACGTGCTTGGAAGGCCATGTTGTGCTGTGCTCTGAGTCTGGCTCTGCTAGACCTCTACAGAACCAAGCCGATCCCATAAGGCATCCTGGGCCTCGTGGAAACCAGGCAAGTCAGCATCAACAGCTTCATGTCATTCTGAGACTCAACTAACAGGAGCTGAAGGGGCTACAAGTGGGCTGCCACAGCCACCTCATCTCCAGCCCAGGTGTGAAGCCCACACTGCCTCCCAGCTCAAGCAGGCTGAACGCCAACTAGCCTCACACCCCAGCCCCCCGGTGTGTGCCTGGAGCTCGTGAGCCCTGTAGTCAGCAGCCCTCAGCAGCCTCCACTTTTCACCACCACAGGCTGGGCCAGGTGAGTGCAGACACCACAGTTCGCCTCCTGCATGCGAGTGCCCACGCCCTGCATGGTTGCCGTGCCACGAAACAAGCCCAGGAAGTCTTTCGCAGCTTCCTGATTTCTGGAACAAGACTTTCCAGGCTCTAGCCAGGAACGGTGACACTCACTCGCAGTCCCCACTACTCAAGAGGCTGAGGCAGGAGGACTGCTTGAGTCCAGAAGCCCAAGTCCAGCCTGGGCAACACAGTGAAACCCCATCTCTTTAAAAATCTTTAAAAAAAGACAATCCAGGCTTATCTTTTCCATACCCCCCAGACCTGGACCATGGGTCACTCTACTGGGGAGCAGAGTTCACCTGGATGCTAGGACTCTGCATGGGTGCTAGCTGTCAGTATTGCTAGATCTTGTCCATGTCTGCAGTGCACTCATATGCAAACCGTACGAATGAAAAGCAACTTACAGGCAAAGGAAACAGCTTCCCATTTACTTTTATACACAAACTATTTGGGTAGTTATCTTCTTGAGGGCAACTTGTCTCTGCCAGGCAAAGTCTGTATTAATAAAAGAGAGAAAATTATTCTTAAGTGCTGTCTGCAAACACGCTCGCGCACTTTAAGAAGCAGAACTGTGAGCACACAGTTAGCAGGCACAAAACTAAGGAAAACTTAAACTCACCTCAACTGAACTTGGACCGTATAATCTCTCCTCCCACCTGGCAAAAAATCCCTGTTGGAGAGAAAACAGATTAAGGAAGCAGAATGAGAATTCGCGGGAACGCTTTGGCACCATCCCCACCCCTGTCCTTACTCATGACTCAGCAGCACACGCCCCCATCAGGCGGCTGCAGGGATGACAACCTCGCTCCCTGGACGCTCAGCCAACTCGGTGAGCTGGTGAGCTGGAAGCGCAGGAACCTCTGTGATGCACAATTCATTCAAAGGATAAGTGTGGCAGATGCAGAAGGAAGCACCCAGGTCCTGGAGGGGTGAGTGGATGGATCTGTCTGCCTGGCGGTTTGTGCCCTCAGCTGAGCATCCCATCCCTGAAGATGTGTTGGGGGGGCCTCAGGCTCGGTCTGAGCACACGCAGCTTCAACAACTACTCAGAGGGTTCCCACACAGAACCAGGACAAAGAGCCACAGCCTGGTCTGGGCATCTCCATGGCAACTTCTTGATTGCGTTCCCAACTCAAAGACACAGAACCCTGAGCTATCTCTGGAGGAGACCCACAGTCCCATATAGAATGTCTTTGGCAATGAACCCTCCAAGCCCTTGCCACGCAAACAGGGCCACATGAAGCAGTGGAAATGGGAACCTGGGGAGTGCCAAGCCTCTTGCTGGGTTCCAGCCTCAGAGATTCCAGTTCAGTCGATGCGGAGCATCCTGACACACAGCAAAGACTGAGCATCATGGCGACAGACACAGCTGAATGACACCACAAGATGCAACCATCCCAATCCAGGAGGGTCATCTGTTGGAGTCAGACAAATCACCTTCCAGCGATCAATTCCAAGGTGGGGCCGAGAAAACGCAAAGTGAACCTGGAGCATCTTGTGCCGCAAGAAAGACAACAGTGCCCAAAAGTGGCCGAGCAAAGGCACGGCAGAGGACGCAGGAGCGACTACAGGGAACTCCCAGAACCAGACCAGAGTGACCTGAGCAACGGCCTGCATCACCACAACCCTGGGCTGCAACCCCCAGAGCACCCACAATATACACTGCTGGGAAGGGAGGGAGGCAGGCAGAGAAGGGGCAAGAGAGCAACTCCACTGTGAAAAGAGGGAAGACAGCAGAAACCAGCCCGGGAGCACAAGCACAGTCTTGCTCGAGCAACTGCTGAAGACGGGCCTCAAGAGTGGACGCTGCACTGCGGGCAAGGGTTCGAGGAGAGACGGAACACCACCTGCCTACCTTCATACTCTCTCCCCAGAGAGCTACCAACAACGGCACAGACATCCAGCAGAGAGCATCAGCCAAGGGCCTCAAGGCTGACACGACCAAAATCAGACATGGCCATCAGCACTGCATGGCCTGAGCCATGCCCTGGGAAGCGTGTGGAACTTAAGGTATTCCTGTCAGATGCCGGGCTCAGTGTTGGCATGGCGAAACCCCAGACACACCCGACCGGACCATATACAAGACACCTGACCAGCACGCTGTAGTGAAAAGCGCCAAGTCGTAAGAGACGAGGGAAAACCAAGACTCTGTCATAGACTGAAGGCGACTAGGATGACATAACAATTAAATGTGACCCTTGGGACTGGGTCTAGGAACAGAGATGTTCGTCAGCAGGAAAACTGGTCACATCTGGATGAAGTCTGCAATTTTGAGTGTTGTATCAATGTTAATTTCTTGGTTTTGATGATTATGCTTTGGTTACACAAGAAGGAACTACTGTAACAGAAGCTGGGCGAAGGGCATATACGAGGGGGAACCCAAAAAACCAGAAGTATCTTTTGGAGGATGGGCCCCTTGTAGTACAGACTTCTCCCACTAGGTAAGTGTTCTATGAATAGGAACCTGCTGGCATTCATGAACGAGCTAGCGTTGGTGTGAGAGACCATGCTCGGCTTCAGTGAACCTTTTTTGGAGATTCATTCAATGCATTTGCCATTTCATAATGGGTGATTTACAAGCATACATTGCTGAGTGTTCAGCAGTTTTTGCGATTACACGTGGCTCAGCCTGGCATCCCGGCACTTTGGGGGGCTGAGGCGAGTGGACTGCCTAAGCCCGTGGGTTCGAGACCAGCCCAGGCAGCTTAGGGAGACCTCGTCTCTACAATAAGTCAAAAATTAACCAGGTGTAGTAGTGCACGCCTGTAGTCCTGGCTACTTGGGAGGCTGAGGCGGAAGGATTGCCAGAGCCCAGATGGTCGATGCTAGGGCGGCCGTGAGCATGCCACTGCATTCCGGCCTGGGCGACGGAGTGAGACTCCAACTAAAAAAATAAAACGGCATGACCTCCATGTCCCACCCTCCCTATTCACCCGATCCCCTCTGAAGTGACTTTCTTTTGTGACCCCAGATGAAAAAAGTCCTCAAAAGGAAATGTTTTGCCAATGTGGAAGAGGTGCCACAGAACGGCAGAAACACTAGAAGGCATCAAAACCGACAAGTTCAAAAACTGTTCTGAGCAGTGGACAAGTGCATTGCATCAAATGGGGAGTACTGTGAAGGTGACTGAAGTTTAAACATGTAAGAAAAAAGACACAACTTTTTATATATAAATTCCAGATTTTGGGGTCCTCCTCATATACTAGTTTCACAATTCTTCTGTAAATCAAAATGACTTCAAGATATACAGTTAAAAAAATCTTGAGAACATAAAAGTCAAAAGTAATACACAGGCCTCGTCTGATTACTGAAACAACTGAGAAAATTAGAACATGGGCTGGATATTATTTTGTATTGGGGAATTATTAATCTCTGCAATTATGTTAAAAATTAATTAGAGATGCATTGTTAAGTATTTCTGAGTGAAATGATATGACACCTGCAGTTTGCTTTAAGATATTTCAGGAGGCAGGGTGCGTGGCCCACACCTGTAAGCACTCTGGGAGGCCAAGGAGGAAGGGTTGCTTGAGCCTAGGAGTATGAGTTTGAGACCAGCCTGGGCAACATAGTGAGACCTTGTCTTTATCCAAAAAAAAAAAAAGAAGAAGAAGAAAAGGAAAAGGGTTGGAGGGTCAGATAAAGGCTGCCAAAATGTATGGATAATGAGCATCAAATTTTTACTTCCACCTATTGGGAAGAAGGAGAGTTTTACTATTTGATTATAAAACTCTGAAAAGGCTGGGGTTTACATGGACATGTGTATATGTGTGGCCTTTTCTATTTTTTCTTTGGAGGGAGAATTACAAACAACATGACTTTTTTTTTTTTTTAGTTGGAATCTCACTCTGTCACCTAGATTGGAGTGCAGTGGCCGCTCCCGGCCACCACAGCCTGGACCCACTGGGCTCCGGCGACCCTTCCGCCTCAGCCTTCCGAGTAGCCGGAACTACAGGTGCGCGCTACCACGCCCGGCTAATTTTTGATTCATTGTAGAGATGAGGTCTCGCCAAGTTGCCCAGGCGGGTCTCGAACCCGCGGGCTCAGGCAAACCACTCACCTCAGCCTCCCAAAGACACGGGATTACAGGCTGAGCCACCGAGCCTGGCTAAACAACATTACTTTTAAGAATTTATTTATTTTTTTTACTTAAAAAATTTTTTTAAATGTTACATTAAGGTTAAAGATGCAGAAGATAAAAGTTGATCATTGTAGGTTGGGTGTGGTAGCTCAGCTCCTTGGATCACTTGAGCCCAGGAGTTCAAGATCAGTCTGGGCAACATAATGAAGCCTTGTCTCTACAAAAAAATTAAAATAAAATAAATCTACTATTAAATCACTCTGTTGCCCAGGCTGGAGAGCAGTGGCAAAATCATGCCTCACTGCAGTCTCAAGCTCCTGGGCTCAAGCAATCCTCCTGCCTCTCCCTCCCGAGTAGCTGGGACTACATGCATGCACCACCATGCACAGCTAGTTTTTTGTTTTTGTTCTTTTGCTATGTTGCCTAGGCTGGTCTTGAACTCCTGGGCTGAAGCAATCCTCCTGCTTCAGCCTCCCAAAGGGCTGGGATTACAGACGTGAGCCACCATGCCTGGCTATAAACTTTTTTAAGGGTACGGTTCTGTGGCATTCAGTACATTCACATGGTTGTGCAGCTATCACTACCACCCATCACAAGAGTACGATCATTTCTTACTGAAAATTATTTAAACTTCAGTCACTTATTTCTTTACCAATTAAGACATTCACATAATTCAAACTCCAAAAAGATACAAAAAAGAATAAAGCGAAAAGACTCCCATCATGACTCAGCCTCTGGTCTCCTGCTCCCTTCTACTGAAGGAGCCGTCTTGCCTGTCCAGGGAGGCAGACACACTTCAGCACACTCTGCATATGCGTGCACACGCACGCCCCTTCCTAAAGCAGCTGAGGCACACCAGTAATTCAGTCCCTCGCCTTGGTCATCTGAACATTTGTCTTGAAACTTGTGTCCTGAAACCTGCTTACTCTAACCTGCTTCCTCCAAGGGCCACACAGCACCCAAGCAAAGCGCTCCCAGACCACCACTCATGGTGACTGCCCTCCTATAAGGTGGCTCTTATCGGCCATTGCTGGCTGGCTCTTTCACAACGCCTGGTGACACCAATGACCAGGCTTTAGGTACTGGAGTCGCTCACCAAGGCTGCGAGCACTCCGCAGAACGGGCTCGTGTCACGTGACACAAGGATGTGTACCTGGAAGGCACTCAGAAAACAGCCTCGAGGAAGGTATCGTCACTAGCAACAAACAAAACTAGACAAATGGTATGATTTTGGACACAGAACTGAATTTCTTAACTCCCTTCCTTTGGTTTGTTAGTTGGTCTGTTACTATTCCCAAGACTGCCACAAGCCAGCCTGTCTGCATGTCCACTACTCCTTGGACTCCAAACTACAGGGTCAGATGATCACATCAGTGACATTTCTGCTGAGGAAAAAAACTCCAATAAAAGTGGTATGATCAGTCCAAGGAGCTGCAGCCATCCCTCACACACCTAGCAGCACATCGCCAAGGTGCTGTGACCCATGATCCAGAGACCTCATCCTGGGAGACCGACAGAGTGTGTGAGTGGATTCAAGAGGCCAGAAGGATGCCTGTGAAGAGCTTATTTGTCATGGCAAACACAGTTTCCCAAACTCACCTCACTGCAGCACCGGCTTTGGAAAACCTCCTACTGCCATCTCAGGGTTCGAGTGAACAGCGGAGAAGAAGGATGGGCCTCTCCTGTGCTCAGCTCCTCACACTCCTTTTCATGCTGCAGACCCAGGAAATCGTTCATCTCCAGAGGCTCAGTGCTCTTATGCGGAACCTTTTATGATCATGACTTTGAAGAACCACATGATATACTGCTAACACTGTCGATGGTTGCTGTTCACTGAGAGTCCATGCTACGGGTTCCCTTTCTTTCCTCTGACGTCTGAGCGCACCTGCCCCTCAGAGTGTGTTGACTTCAAAATGTCTTCTGATGTTCTACACAGCAAGGTCACCAGAACTTTTCATAATGGTTTTTGGATTTCTACTCATTTTTTGGTCAGGGGTGCTGCACGGCTCATGTGGCCCAGAACTGTCCCAGTTTATGTTCTTATCCCAGAATAATTATTAATAATGTTCACTTTCACTCTCAAAAATGGCTCACTCTATACTGATAAAGCTTATGGTCACCCTATGTTTGGACTGTCACCACAGATTCTTTTGTATGCTGCTATAACTGGAAGAAATTTTTCATTTAAATTATTGCCAATGTGGAATTTAAAGATATTCTGAGGTTTTATTCAAAGGTTCACTTTTTTACCTAAAACACAGTATTAAATATTTGGCTAACCCTTTCTTAAAGGACAGAAAGGTCAAGTGGCAGACTGAACTGTGTCGTCTCCCCCGCCCCCAATTCCTATGTTGAAGCCCTGACCCCCAGTGTGATTGTAACTGGAGACACAGCTTTAAGAAGGCAGTTAAGGTTAATTCAACACGACTGGTGTCCCTCTATGAAAAAGAAAAGGCACCAGGAGGTGCTGGCAGAGAACGGGCCACACAAGAAGACGTGCAGGCCAATGAGAAACTGAACCTGCCGACACCTTCATCCTAATAGCCTCCAGAATCCTGAGGAAAAGTCATTGTTGAAGCCCCCAAGTCTGTGGCACTTTGTCATGGCAGCCCGAGCAGACAAACACACGAACAATTTTAGAGAAACATTTTCCAAACATTTCTCTTACCTGGATATGCATATTTCTCTAACTTGTTGAGGTGTCAAAGCAAAAATAAAAAACTTCTCTTGAAATCGCTGAATACTGCTTTGAACTAGGAAGAAAAGAAAAATAGTACTTCAATAACAAATCCAAGGCTGTACCCACCTGCAATAACCAAGCACTTCTGAAAGCGTGAGTGCCAGACTCTGAAAGGTTAAGGCTAACAGGACAAAAGCAGAAAGCACTGCCCTGAGTTCATCTTGTGTCATGAGAAGTCATTCCAAGGGGTTGAACTGCAAGTACTTAGTCATTCTTTGCTCTGAATCCCTAAGCACAATACAGTCAAAGTACAACAAACCCCTTCAACATTTCGCTTCATCCTAAACAGTCTCTCGGCTAATAACAATCTAGGGAAGGTAACAACTCTCCCCAGGAGAACTCTTTCTAAGAATTAAGCGTTTTTTGCTTGTTTTTCTTTATTGTGTTTTGGTTTGGTGCTCTATATTCAATTATACAAATGTTCATGAGAAAATTTAAAACCTCAAAACTTCTATGAGTCACTAAGACACTCATTTTGTAATCATTTGCATACAAAAGACTGCTTAGTTTTAAAAAATTACCACATGAAGTCATCCTTCTTTTTTTTTTTTTTTGAGTTGGAGTCTCACTCTGTCACCCAGACTGGAGTGCAGTGACCGCTCCCAGTCACCACAGCCTCGACGTGCTGGGCTCCGGCAATCCTTCCCCCTCAGCCTTCCAAGTAGCTGGAACTACAGGCGCACACTACCACACCTGGCTAATTTTTTTATTTATTGTAGATCCTTCTTAACGGAAGAGTATTTATGACTTCACAAAGAACTGTAACAAATTAACTCTAAGGAACTGCTCAATAAAGTCCTAGTACCTGTTAAAGCAAAGCAAGCACACAGAGGTCTCAAGTCTTCTGCTTCCCAGCAAGAGCTGCAACACCAACCACGAAAAGCAAGTGGCCCTGGCATGTGCTGTTGTCCCCAGCGATCCTGACACACAGAGAGACGAAGCCAGCTAATGCTCAGAGCCAGAGCGGACACCAGCTAATGCCCAGAGCCACAGGGCTTCCACCAAAAGTCACTGTTCAGCAGACCGCTGGCTCTGAGCAAAGCCTCTGCTCCTGAAGCTGGGGCCGTCTGCTGCATGCTGCAGCAAATGCCCTCTGAGAAATTCGGTCAGCAAGTGGCTCACATCTTTTCACACCCTTAAAAATGAGGGAGAGAGGGCTGTTGTTTATGACGAAGGCCTAAAACTGAAACAGAGCTTCAGGTAGTGGGCATACTCAGGTAGGGCAGTGAGTCTCTCCATCTCTGCAGCCTCCATTCCCTCCTCCACACGCTCTTCCTTGGACAGATTCTACCAGCCACTCCATCGAAGCTTAGGTCGCCAGCGTCCTCCTGGCCAGCAAATGAAAAGTTCTGCTTTGAGATTACAAGTGCACACACCCATCTTCAATCTTAATTTATGACATTAGCACCCAGTTTCTCCAGTCAGAAACCTCCAAAGTGCTAGTGTAAGAACAAATGGAGTCCCAAAAAAAGAAGAGAGTTAAAATGGGGCATTAAAAAAGGAAAATATTTGCAAACATAATAAATAAATAATCCATAACCTGGATGGAGGGGGAAAAAAGGTTTTTAAAAAGCCAAACCCCAAGCAAAATAATACAAAGAAAACTACCTAGTCACATCAAACAACTGAAAAACAACTACTGGCCAGGTTTGGTGGCTCAGCCTGTCATCCCAGCACTTTGGGAGGCCGAGGCGAGTGGATGGTCTACGGGTACGAGACCAACCCGGGCAACTTGGCAAGATCTCGTCTCTACAATAAATCAAAAATTAGCCAGGCATCGTAGTGCATGCCTGTAGTTCCAGCTACTTGGAAGGTTGAGTGGAAGGATCTCCAGAGCCCAGCATGTCAACACTGACTGGGGTGACCATGAGAGTGCCTGGGCGATAGAATGAAACTTCAACTAAAAAAAAAAAGACCACTATAAACTGAAAGCAGCCAGAGAAAAAAGAAATATTACAAACAAGGGAACACACAAATAAAGGATGACTTCTCATCAGAAACAATACAGGTAAGAAGATAATCTTTAAGGTGGAGAAACAAAAAAAACCTGTCAACGAGAAATTCAATATGCTTCAACAACAGTAAAATAAGAACTTTTCAGATAACAGATGCTAAGAGTTTACTGACAGCAGACGTGCATTACAAAAAACGGAAATTCTCAGGATAAAAAAGATCCAGTTCACAACTGGATCTTTGGGAATGAAAATCACAACAGTAAATTAAAGGTCAATTTAAAATAGCATGCCATTTTGTCTTTGTGTGAGTTTCTTTAAAAAGTACTTGCTTAAAGCAAAGGCAGCAGCAGTGAGGCTTTCCAACAGGCTAGAGTCAAGACGACACCAGCAAAAAGCAGGGAGGGCGGAGCGACAAAGCCTCGGGCGCCACAGTTGTATCCTGCCTCCTTCTGAGAAACCGGAGTAACGCCAATCCAACTCTCAGTGAGTCAAAAGGAACAGGTGTCCACACCTGTAAAGCCGGCACGAGACCCTCTGATTCCCCAGGATCAAAGCCAACACTGGAGTCACCTACCCTAAGACATTCCCATACACCACGGACCCTGACACTTAACGCCAGAAGGGAAACTAGCATGCTTCCCAGTCACAGGTCCAACACGCACCTTTATGTCCAACTGGACACACATACTGTGTGCTGCACAACATATAGACAAGTCAGAGTTTGCAGCTTAGTGCTTTATATCTAGACAGACAAATCCTTGCAGTGCCCTTCATTTTACTGGCAGAGTTTTGGTTTTACCTAGCCCTTATTTGGGATCAAATTTTCAGTCCCAACTGCACTCCCAGGTGACCTGCTGTGGCCATGGAAAGCTGGCTCCAGGTCACCGTACACTACAGTCAGACTCCAGGGACGGAGCGCAACAAAAGCCAGGCCCACGCTGCACTGATCTGTATGGACGTCGACAGTCTCTGAAGAGTCAGTTTTATGACAGGACAGCGGCCACAAGCCGCGTTAAGTGTGCCGCAAGGTAAGCCCAGTACTCAGCTGTCGTTTTAAGGCAGATCATGACAAAGAACAGCAGGATACAAAGCAGAAGTATCCAGGTTGCGCGGCTTATGTTTCCCACAATTTGAGCATCAGAAAACAAAGTCTGAGAAGACCCCATGAATGCTCTTGGGTTCACGACAAAGAACCAAGGAACACGACCACACCCCGGGGCAGGGGCAAAGGGTGGCTGCACTCAGATCCCTTGCTCTGCCCTAGCCCTTAAACACTCAGACTCTGCTCTGCAAAGTCGGCTGCCATACTGCTGCTCCCCACCACCCCGTCCTGTCCTCACACAACCTTGCCGCGCCCACTGAGCAGCGGGGTCTGCATCTCCCTCCCTTTGAACGCTCTGGAACGATCCCTGGTGGCCGCTTCACCCAGCAGCATGTGGTGGGTGTGATGCCACACAACCTCCAGGGCTGGGTCGTGAACATGCCTGCACCTCCTTCCTGGCACTGTGGGACACCTGGCCGTGGAGCCCAGCTCTCACTCTGGGAAGAAGCCACATGTGGATCTCCAGTCAGCAGCCAGGCTGAGCCCCAGCCACCAGGCGACACAGCTGCCAGCCAAGTCAGCGAAGATGCCAAGTGATCCTGCCTCTACCCCTCAAGTCACCCCAAGCATTCCAGTCTTCTGAGCTAAGACCCCAGGCATCCTGGGACAAGAGGCAAGCTGGCCACACTGTCCTTCCAAATCCTTGACCTAGAGAACCCACGTGCATAACAAAATGTCTGTTTCACTGCTGGGCACAGTGGCTCACACTGTAATCCCAGCACTTTGGATGATGGAGGCGAGAGAACTGCCTGAACCCGAGGGCTGGAGATCAGCCTGGCAAGACAGCGAGATGTCATTTCCACAATAAATTTAAAAATTAGCCGGGCATGATGGCTCACTGTTGGGAGGTAGTTCCGGCTATTTGGGAGGCTGAGGCAGATGGATTGCCCAAGCCCAGCAGGTCAAGGCTGCAGTAGCCGTGACCATGCCACTGCATTCCAGCCTGGGTGACAGAGTAAGACTCCCCCTCACAATAAACAAATAAACAAATAAAATATCTGTTTTACACCCCTATGCTTTGGAATCATATATTATACAGTAGAGTAAATAAAACAATGCCACAATTCCATGAAGTTTACCCTAGCTAATCTTAATTCCAAATTTTATCATTATATTCAGATAATTTATAATTACTAATTGATAAGGCTACTGAGGTGTGTCTGTGTGTGTGTGTGTATGTGTACGTGTGTGTATTTTTTTAATTGTAGAGATGAGGTCTCGCCATGTTTTCCAGGCTGGTCTCAAACTCCTGGGCTCGGGCAATTCTCTCACCTCGACCTCCCAAAGTGCTGGTATTACAGGTATGAGCTACCATGCCAGGCTAAGGCCACTGATTTAACAATTATGACTACTCTAGGTTGGGGTGGGGGGGGTTAAAATTAAATTTTAAACTTACCTGGAGAACATAATATGCCTGCATCCTAGCCTTAGCCCTACTGGTTACTATCTAAATTACTCTGAGAAATTCACTGGGGTGTGGACATCTAGACAGGCAGGAGTGCTAGGTAACAGGTTATTAGGAATTCTTAAATTTGTGTCTCTTAAATTGGTCGCTCTTTTCTGGAGTAAGAAAAGTCAGTCTGCAACTTGTTGATAGTGGTGTTAATTCTTCTGTTTGCTTACAGTTGAGTAAAATAAAAATCTTGAGTGAAGGGGGGTAGGAAATTCACATAAGATTTCTAAGCCTTTTTTACATCTCAATCAAAACAGCAACTGTAACACTTTTCTCAGCTGCTTTTAGATTGTTTTGTGGATCAGATGCAAAACCAATGTGAAATCATTCTGAAAACAGTAAGACACTACACATGTGTAATATATTTTCAGTTCTACAGGGTCTCATCAAAAGTTTCTAATTTTTAAAAGAAATCAAATTTTCAGGAAAAAAAAGCAGTCCAGCAGCTATATTCTGCCACCTATTTAATAACAATGACTTGGCCTTGGTAAGATATCTAAGTA